GTTTGCCTCGTTTCTGCCAAAGATGCCTAACTATAGGACGTGCAAGCCCTTATATACTAATCTAGAGTTACAAAAGATTACAAAAGTCCAAGCCCAAAAAGTGCCGCTCAGCGGTATTTACCGCTCAGCGGTGATTGCGCGTCTTCTTTCTTCCCCTCAGCGGCCATTTTGCCCCTCAGCGGTTCCAACGTCACCTCTTGAGTGCCGCTCAGCGGTAGTTTGCCGCTGAGCGGTGCCTTCGACTTCTCTTTTTGCACTCTTTCTTGTCTTTTCTAATGTCCTCTCTCTCATTCTTCACTTCTTTCACCAAATTCACCTCAAAACCTGCACAAAAACACTCAAATCAAGCATAAACCTGTCCAGCTCTCATATTTCTGAAAATATAAATAAAATGCATGATTTCAAGCTAGTTTCTAAGTCTAAAGGTTGCTTTTAGTATCAATTTTAAGCATGAAAATAACAGTTTTTAAACTGTTATCAGTCAGACGTCAAATGGTTTGCATACAAAACTAAAAAGTCATTATTTTATTGTCTTCAGACGTCGGCTACGGGCCCCCGGATGTCTAATTTGAATTAAACGTCGACTCCCCCTCCATGGACGTTAAAAATGTCCGAAAATATCTCATCTTAAGCGTCGATATTAATTTTTTTACGACTTATACGTCGACTCCCCTCCCTACAAACGTCAAAAAGGTGCAAAATTACCTTATTTGGGCGTCAATATTAATACTTTTGCCACTTAGACGTCGACCGCCTCCCCACAAACGTCAAAAAGGTGCAAAATTACCTCATTTTGCACGCCAATGTTATTTTTTTTATCACTTAGATGTCAGCTAGGAAGAGGGACCAAAGCCTTAGAGCACTTTGACGTTTGTTGGGAGGGGGCCGACGTCAAATACCCTACATTTTCACTCACTCCAGAACACAAGCACCAGCTACACGTTTTCTCTCTCGATGTGTTCAACTTCTTCCCCTGCTTGCTCTCGTTCGCCATTAACGTCCAGGTAAGTTTTCTTCCACTTTACACCGTTTCAAATTATTTTGCACCGATTATATTACGTTTGGAACCATTATGTTTCATTGGCACCGATTAAAATTCGTTTTCATTGGCTTTCGGTGCAGTTCTTGGATGCGTTCTAGGAATACTACGACGATGATTTTTAGACCGTTATTGTGCACGTTTTTCTTCTCACCTCACAATGGCACCTGTCTACTCCTTCACCTTCACAATTAGTTTCATTTTTGGTTGCATTTTTCATTGGTTGTTACTACTTCTAAAATACTGGAATTTTTTGTGGTGTATTCTGGTGTTGTATATTGATTTTTCATGGTTTTAGTGGAAGAAAATATTGGCGAACATCTTTTTAGAAAAAACCCATAATTTAACGTTTGTTGTTCTTACAACCGATGTCAATTAACGTCTATTATAAGACAACAAACATCAATTAACGTTTGTTCAAAGCTATGACGTCAGACATTTAACAAACATCAAAAGCCTAAAATAACAAACGTTAAAACCTATTTTTGTTTTAGTGAATTGGTATACTTGCCAAAAGGTTATCAAGTTTTTGGCGCCGTTGTCGGATATTTTCTTGTTATTGTTAGTCCAATTGATTGATTGTTTACCAATTTAAATTTTTTTCATTATCTGTACATCCATTGTCTTTTAATGTTTTTGGATAAGTTGTATTTTGTTTTTAGTTATTTCCTCAAGTTGCCTAGTTTAGCTCTGTTTGTTATACATGAGAAGTAGAATAAAAGCTGAAAACTTGTTGTTTGATTCTGAAATATAAAGAACAACCCGTAGGAATAATAATAGGCATAGGAGAAAAAATAGGAAAAAAGAAGCTAGGAAAACTAGTTTAAGTTCTACCTCAAACACTCTTTCTTGTTTTGAACTTGAGGATAAGGAAATGGTAGGACATCAGAACGTGTAGTAGGTTATCTGCATATAATAGAGTAGATTTGCATTAAACAAATATGTCTTTTCTCTTATCACTTTTATTGTTTTTGAACATTGAACATTTAATGACATTTAATGTTTGTTCAGAACAACAAATTGCATTTTACATTTTCTACCATTGAGGTAGGGTTTATAATTTTAGCTTTCTCTAAGATACCAAACGTTGAATAAGAACTTCCTCATTTGACGAAGTGAAGGATTTAGCTCATGGTATAGTCTAGTTTTTTTCTAAATGTTTTTTGAGATTTTGCTTTCTTTAGCTAGAGCTTTTAACACATTTTGTTTTCTACATTGTTTTGGATTTTTAATTGAGGCTTTTAAAGGGTTTTAGCTAAAAACATTGTCTTGACACTTTACCACTTCTTGAGAGTTCAACGAATTACCATTAAATACAGTATAACTTACGTGTTTAGCATAACTCTCATAGACTATTTGACTTGAGATTCGTTTTTGTGTTACGTCTGGATGTTTTAACTTGGTTGTTTACGTTTCATATATCCCTAAGTGTTTTCCCAAGGTTTTCTTATGTTGCTATATTATTAAGGATTTTGAACATAACACTTATGTTTCTGCTTATTCTATTTTAGTTAGCATCTTGAGATTCTCGTTTCGTTTAATGTTATTTGGTTAAACTTCAAATATATGATAGTGTTTGGACATATAAGTCATATAGACGATTTTGTCTTAACAATAAAGGCACATAGTGGTAATGTAGAGACGTAACAATGACGTGGAGGTGCAACAACAACAAAAAGGTGAAGCGGTGATCCATATGCTTGATCAAAATGCAAAGGCATAACAATAATGCGTAGGCGACATGGAGATGATACAAGGTACCAATCAGAGTTAAAGGAGGAAAATGAGAAGAAAGAGCTATTAAGCAAATCCACTAGTACAAAAATATCGTATAACGTCGTTGTTTTTTAGCCTTTCATGTCAAATTCGAGGTCGACGTCATATCGGGAGACGTTAAATTGACCTCGAATTTAAAAAATCCAACGTTAATCAAATTGACATCGAATTTTGTTAATATTCGACATTAAACATTTTTTATTTTTTTTAATTAATTGTAATTGTAATCCTTTTTTTCAACTGTACGAGACCTGAAAAGTATAAAAACAACAAATTTCAGTTTTTGGTATTTTATAAAGCATGAACTATGAACGAGTAGTATAATATCAACAACAAACAACAATAACAAACAACAAACAAGTTCAATCACACAACAACAACAACAACAAACAAGTTCAACCAAATAACAACAACAAACAAGTTCAACAAAAAACAACAACAAACAAGTTCAAGAAATAAGTTCTTCAAAACGAAAATGAAAACGAAAACTAACCTTCAAAAGGTGGGTTTGTCAGAATAAAGTGTTCCACCAGTGAGAGAGAAAGCAGAATGCGCCTATGAAGGACAAGAAAATGAAAATAATTGGTCAAAACAAACGAAAATTATACATAAAGTAGTTAATTAACATGCATTTGTATCAAATGAAAGAAAGATTACATGTGATGATCGTCAAACTTCGTTCGAGAAAAATTTGAGAAGAGAAGAGGGTCTCGCGTGCTAAGATAAAGTGAATGAATTTTCAATCTCCAGCTCAAATTAAAAAGGGGAAACTTTTAGCTGACAAATAATACGTCGAAGCTCCTACAAAATTCGACGTATTATATGTGGTTTAAACGAAAAAAAAAAAAAAGAATTAAAAAGGGGTTACTTTTTGGCTTCTGGCTGACAAATAATACGTCGAAGCCCTTACAGAATTTGACGTATTATTTGTTGCTTAAAAAAAAAGAAAAAAGAATTAAAAAAGGTGATTCTTTTGCTTTTGACTAACAAATATTACGTCGAACCCCTACAGGATTTGACGTACTATTGGTGGTTTAAAAGAAAGAAGAAAGAGAATGGCGCGCTGGTTTAAATAATTACCATCATAAAACGTCAAATTGAATGGGGCTTCGACGTTCTACAATTGCATTTATTTACAAAAATGCCTTGGTCATTTTTAACGCTGACTATTCAGTGGTTGGACGTTAAATGTGTGACGTTATACACTATTTTGCACTAGTTATCTCAATACATACACTCAAATATTTTCCTAAAATTGAGTCTTGTATTCACTGATAATTGAAGGGCTTTAAATAGCCGTGATACTTGCAATATTACAAGAATAAGAATAAAATATGAAAATAAAATATCAACTATCTTAAAAATAAAATCTTCTTAATCTATCATAAAATAATATTGTACCTAGATAAATAGAAAATCATAACTATCTATCCCTATTTTACTAGACCTAAAACTAATAAAATAAGATTTAAACAAAATTATTAATAAAACCCTAACATTTAAGTTTATCCCAACAAACTCCCCCATAAACTTAAATTCTTCCTTCCTTCAGTCGGCTTTCCATGTGCATCCCCACACCGGGTTTTCTTCTTTCAATCATATTTGAGTTGGAGTTATCCAAGCTCTTGCTAGTCATATCTGGTTTCAAACATTTTCACTCCAAGATTTTCAGCTCTAGTTCATACAACTGGTTCTTCTTTGCTTTTAGCTGGGTTGTTAGACGACCATGTTTATCCTTTAAATACAGTACCTGATTTTTCATAAAAATTGAATTACCATTTTCAATTATCTCACCCATGCTTAAAATATTGCTCTTCAGCTCTAGAACATAGTAAACATCCCTAATCTCTCCAAATCGTCTATTCTTCTACATATGTCAGATTGTTCCACGTCCTTTCACGACTACCTTGGAGTCATCTTCGAAAGACATAAATTTGGCATTCACCTTGGTGAGTTTATAAAAAAAGTTCTCGTTTTCACACATATGATTGTTTTCCCCAGTATCTAGATACCATACCGAGTTGGTAGAAATCTCATCAACCTTCATCTCTTCTTTATCTTCTTCTTCCCTATTTTTATTTGGTTCAAGAACGCTAAATGCTTTATCTTCTTTTTCAAGAGCCATCCTCTTCAGCTCCTCAAGCTCAATCATCTGTTTACTCATAATTTCATTAGCTTCATCTAGAAGCCTCCCTATCCGCTGAATCTCTTCCTCTTTTTGTTTGAGTTCATTTTCCATGTTTGTCACACCTTTTACCGAGATCACTTCATCCATTATTGAGAGCGAATTTTCCATGTCCACTATATCCGAGCTCTTTGCCAACAATAGTTCTTCTACATCTTCAATAAGGAGATTCCTCTCCCCATTTGCCTTTGTCTTGCAATACTTTGCAATATGGCCTACCTTACCACAATTGTAGCACTTGTTTGATCTACACTCATTTGCATAATGACCATACTTACCACACTTAAAACACTAAAGTCTTGACCGATCTCCTCGGCCTTTTCCTTGTCCTCGGTTACGCCAATTCTACTGACTGGTTTGCTCTTCATTATCATTCTAAAAATTACCTCAGCCACGTCAACCTCGTCATCGGCTTCCTCGCCATCTGCCGCCAAGCATTCGACTCTGAGTAATCTGAGTTTTATTCGAGTCAAACTGTACCTATAGTGCTTCATCGTCGGGTTCCCCCCTTTTCTTTTTCTTCCTCAATTTGTGGGCTTTTAATACGATACTTTCAAAATCATCCGTTAGATTTCTCAAGATCTTTTCCGCAACCCGGTTAAGAGGAACCTCTTCTCCATTCATTCCGAGTTGGTTGGCCATCTTTTGCACTCTAGCTATGAACTCGACAACTCCCTCATTTTCATCTATCTCCGTATGTTCAAACTCTCTTCTGAAAGTTTGTACTCGGACTTGCTTCACGCGGGTATCTCCTTTGTATGTCACATTCAGAATTTCCCATGCTTCTTTTGTTGACTTTGCATTAGCTATTTTCTCGAATCAAGATTCATCAACTGCATTATACAGAAAGTAAAAAACCGATCTGTCTTTCACTCGTGTCTTTTTCAATGCAGCAATCTGGTTCAATGTCTGATGCTCATCATTCGCGGGTTCATTGTACCTGTCCTCCACTATGTCACATACATCTTGGGATCCAAGAAGAACCTTCATCTGCAAAGACCAATTGTCGTAATTGGTCTTTTCCAACAATTGTGACACACTCATTCCGTTGACTACCTTTATCATCTCTCTCACACAAAAAAAATCAAGCACTCACTTTTTTCTCTCACGATGTTTAACTCTCTTCTCTCTCTCTCTCTTTTTCTTTCTCTCGGTACTCATAGCATAAAACTCTTATACCACTGTTGGGTCTATTCAAAGGAGGGGGTTCGTAGGGGAGATAAAAACACCAATGAGATCTGAGCCCAACCATATAAGGGATTAACACCACTCTCTACCCAAAACCTTAAGGAAATGGGTTAATGGGTCTTTCATCTTTATATAGTGCTCTACTTTCTCATTTTTATCCTATGTGGGACTTATACTCATACTTGGATTCCCAACAATCTCTCCCTCAAGGGTGAGTCCCTTCCACTTTTGTACACTCCCCCTCCAGCAGAAGTATTCCCAACCAACCAGAACCATGAGTAGCCCTTTCCAACCATCGTTCATCTTAACGGAACTCGCTTACTTGAATACCCTTTACCAAGAAGACTTTCGGTATAGGGATCATTATACTTAGAGCTATCAAAACGGGTCACCCGACCTAATCCGAATCGGCCCACCACGGGTTGGTCACTTAGTGAGCCAACCCAACCCGGCTCATTTATTATCAAGCCAGAAAAATTCGAACGCGGCTCGACCCACCACAGGTTGGTGGGTAAACGGGTTAGCTCACTGGCTTACATAATTACAATTTTTTTTAAATAAAAAAATTTTACAAACTTTCTATAATTCAAATCTAGACAAATTTCACTCCCAAATTTCATTCGCAACATGGGTGTTTAATTAATTTTGAAAATAAAAAATTTAAATAAATTTTTCAAGAAAAAATAATAATAAATATTTTTTTATAAAATTAAAATTAAATTTTAATAGAATAAAATTAGTTTGGTGGGCTAACTCGGCCCACCACGGGTTCAACCCTCATGAGCTAGATTTAAATGAGTCGGGCTGAAATCTGACCCACATAAAAAAATACAATTTTTTCAAACCCAACCTGGCTCGAACCCGTGGTGGACCGGGCTGGCCCGCGAGTTGTGACCCATTTTGACAACTCTAATTATACTCGTCTAAGTCGGTCACCAAGACAAACCATCAACTCTTATACCACTGTTAAGCAAATCTCACGATACACACACTCAAATATTTTCCTAAAATTGAGTCTTGTATTCATTGATAATTCAAGGGCTTTAAATAGCCGTGATACTTACAAATAAAAATAAAATCTAAAAATAAAATATCAACTATCTTAGAAATAAAATCTGCTTAATCTATCATAAAATAATATTGTACCTATAAACAGAAAATCATAACTATCTATCCCTATTTTATCTCTATCAAAATCAAACTAAATATTACTAAAATCAAAACTAATAAAATAAGATTTAAACAAAATTATTAATAAAATCCTAAAATTTAAATTTATCCTAATAAGAGCCAAAGGTGATGGTGGTGATGGTGGTGACGGTGAACATGACAATTGTGTTGATGACAATGGAAACCCTACAAGAAGGAAAAGAGGTGAAGATAAAAAAGAAAATGATGAAAAAAAGAAAAAGAAAAAATAAATAAGAAAAACTCAGTCGTCGCTTTTACTTACAAGTTTTATTGGTAACTAGAATCCAATCATTAAATTTGTGAATTTTGTTAACTATTAACAAAGTTCACGTTTATTATCGATAAAATTTATCAACAAACACTTTATTGACAAAATATTTATTATCGATAAACTAAAATTATTAATTAATTTTTAATATTATTAATAAATTATATAGAATAGTACGTTATTTTCTTATAATAATAAATAACCCTTAGAATAAGAAAAAAAAACGATTATAAAAGAAAATAAGAAAAAGTGATAAAATAAAGAAGAGAAGATAAGGAAAAAAAAAAGGAAGAGAAAGAAAAACAAAATAATGAGAGCAACAAATAATTACTAATAAATTTTGTATATCAATAATGCATATTTATCGATAAAGTTTTGCTATTATACATAAATCTGATCTATTAATAATTTTTTTTAATGATAATATTCAACATCAATTCATCTTAATCAAATAATTCAATAAATTCAAGTTATTTGCCTCCCTGATCTTGGTAGCTTGCTTTTAACAAGGAACACAACTTCAAAAAATTTAGACTGATCCTAAAATTGATGAATGATGAATTTTAGATTGTAGAAATATTACAGAAAAAAAAATAGATTTTAAGAAATAATCTTCTTAAAAACAAAAAACAAGTATTTCTATACCTATTTATAAACGATTCAAAATTTTCACTCTTCATTTACTTTCAACTATATTTTCGAAATTAGGAATTACAACTAATATTTATATACATTCATTTGTTTTGTTCTTAATATTTTATTCGTCTCTCTAAAGATTTAATAAAATGTTCATATGTTTTAAAAGGAATTCTTATATCCTTTTTATACTTTTAGTAAATTGTTAAAAATTAAATAAAAGTTAGAATAGAACTTAAAAATTGATTAAAAATCCTTAAAAAAATTATACTACAGTCCGTGAAAATGTAATCAGATTAGAAAGTTAGAAGAACAGTTGTCTCACAATTATCATACATGGGTGACTAATCTCGAATTAGTTGGATGCTGAATGTGATATTCATAACAATAATAGTTTTTCATAACTATTAATAACTAAAATAAATGTTCATGTATTTTCTTAATATATAAGTCATTACTTTTTTTCTTTTTATATACACAATATTCACAAGTAGGGTTAGAAATCTGATTTTATTGTACAATTTTTTTTACCAATCTGTTTAACCATTACAAATTTTGTTAAAAATCCAATCTACATTCAAATTATTAAAAATCTAATCCGTCAATAAAAACGTTATTCATAAATGGCATCCATCCATAAAACTAATATTTTAATAAATAAATAAAATTTTCAATTATATTTTTTAATAAAAAATTAAAATGTATATTTAAATGTTTTTAAAAAGCAAATTTTAATTATGAAAAAAATTATTAAATTAGTTGTTATATGTTAAGTATTGAAAGGAAAATATATTGGATTTAAAGTTATTGACAATGATTATAATATAGCTCCTTCGAATGCGTGTGTATTTTAGATTATTCAATATTCTTGCAAGTTGTTGTGTCTATGTTACAGAAAACATTTTAAGAGGTATTGTCTTGTGTTTAAATATTATTTACTTTTAAAACATGTCGGTTCTTATATAGGATAGAGTGTATTGAATAACATATACAGTATTTGTCCTTGTCTGAGTATATATTTGAATTCGTACATGCATAATAATTTAATGTTTTTTAAATAAATTTAATAATTCTTATATCTTTATTTATTAGGTATATCTAAAAGGTAATATTCGTATCCATTAACAAATTAAATATAAAACATTGAGAAAAACAAATAGATTAAACCTTTACGGTTATAGTTCAATTAAAATACCATTCAAAATAAACCATTGTACACATGTGTATAATAATATACTTTGCAACAAACTTTGACGAAAACATATTTATAAATTTAGGTTTAATGTCTCCGTAGGTCCCTATTTTCGGCGTGAATCTCAAATAGGTCCCTTTTCTTTTCGGCGTCTCAATTGGGTCTCCATTTTTGTAAAATTGTAACAATTAGGGGTCTGCCGTCAAATTGGACAAACGGCCGTTTAATTGTTTCTTACGTGTCAGATGGGAATCATGCCACGTGTGATTACTGAAAACACTGTTCATGCCACGTAAGAAACAATTAAACGGCCGTTTGTCCAATTTGACGGCAGACCCCTAATTGTTACAATTTTACAAAAATGGGGACCCAATTGAGACGCCGAAAAACGCCGAAAAGAAAAGGGACCTATTTGAGATTCACGCCGAAAATAGGGACCTACCGAGACATTAAACCATAAATTTATTGGTCTAAATGCGACATTATAATATTTCTGAGGTGGATTTTTAAATTTTCTATGAACAAACAAAATCTCTCTCTCTCTCTCTCTCTCTCTCTCTCTCTCTCTCTATATATATATATATATATATATATATATATATATATATATATATATATATATATATATAATATTATTGTATCTACAAGATTTAGTGCTTATTACTATTCAAAATTGTAGTTAATATAATTAAAATGTGAACCTACGTTGATCTATCTGACCTGAATGAAATATTTTAATTGAACCTATATTAACTTATTTTGATCAAACTCAACAAATCGAATAAATGTTCAAAAGAAAACATTGGATTTAAACTGTGCATATCAAAACAGTGTAAACAGAAAAAAGATAGTTTTATCAATGCAAAAAAGTGGGTCAAATATGTTTGAGGAAATTCACTTTTATGCTTTTGACAAACAATAAAATATTACGAATCCATGGAAAAAACAAATAATTTGTTTTTCGTCTAGATATTTTCGAACAAATATTAATAATATTCATACCATGGTTATCCAAAACATATGAATAAATTTAACGTTGAAATTAAATTTAAAAAATTTACAGACAAAAATAAGCAATACAAAGAAATAATGGAAGCAAAAGTAAACAGCATCAGTAGTTTGAAAATAAAAGTTTGTTCGTTGCATTGATCATGCTGAAGTTTCCTTTACATTACAGAGGAAAGACAAGTATGGATAAGATTGAGACGAATGGTCTATTTTTTGTCTTGACGAGGACCTGCTGGTTACAACGTGATTGACCCACTCTTCTACGTAATTTTCCCTGCAGCTTCATCGTAACATTCTCTTCATTACGTTCAATCGGGACCATTGCTGCAAAACCAACAAGAAGAAATTTAAAGACACAATGGTTGGAAAGTTTGAAACATATATGGATCAATCTCGTTTTTTATTATAGCTTCCACAATGAACATGTTTTATGAGTTCGTCACAAACTTATGTTTGAAGATTGAAAGAGTCGTATGTGAGAAATCCTAAACCACGTGGAACAGACATAGTGGACTATATATATATATATATATATATATATATATATATATGTTTTGGTGTACAAGATTCTGAACATGCATTGCATCATTTGTATTTAGTGGTGAGAATAGTTTAATGTGGCACAGTGGTGTGAACTTATTGTTTAGAAGAGTAAATAGATAAAGACATTGAAAAGGGTCAATTTGAAAGGTGATAACAAAAAGAGACACTGAGGTTTTATGATTTATATATTAAGCTTGAAAAAGAAGACATTTTATAATTAATATATTATGGTTGAAAAAGAAGACATTTTATCATTAATATATTATGGTTGAAAAAGAAGACATTTTATTATTTAACTTGTATTGTATTCATCTGTTAACTAACAGATCTTACTTTAGTGTTTTCTTTGACAGAGAATCTTCGATACTTCTCCTAATTTTTCTTCTTCACACACAATAAAAGAAAAAAACACAGTGTATTGTGAGTTGGAAGGCCATGAAAAAGGAGTGGATATTTTA